TGGCATTACTTCTCAGAGAAGTCTTCTTTTCTTTCCTTTCCATCTATACAATATTTAATAGATTTGGAGGTCTAGATTATCTTTTAGGTCAACGTGCAACTTAAAACCTGATAGACCAATGGGATTAGTAAAATAATTGCCAATGAACGTGGGAGGGACTACGTGAGGCATAGTTTATACACAGTGAGAGGGACTATGTATGTCCATTCTGATCACTTTATTTTTTTATTTTTTTATTTTTTTTAAATTTTTTTAATGTTTTTTATTTATTTCTAGGAGAGAAAGAGAGAGAGAGAGACAGCGTGAGCAGGGGAGGGTCAGAGAGAGAGGGAGTCACAGACTGAAACAGGCTCCAGGCTCTGAGCTGGCAGTCAGCACAGAGCCTGACGCGGGGCTCGAACCCACAAACCGCGAGATCATGACCTAAGTGAAAGTCGGACGCTTAACCAACTAAGCCACCCAGGCGCCCCTCCTTCTTTCTTTCTTAAATCAGAAATTTAAAGTAGCATTTCATTTTTCCTAATTCCTAGGACATATCTCCTATATGACAATGGATAGCCAGTATACAAAGAGAAAAAACAGAGAAGGTCAAGGTAATTTAGAAAACTGGGTAATTTTCTAATAATTATTAAATTAACTCTTTACTTTTTTTGTGTCTGGATTAGGACTCCTAAGTCTTCAATAACATAAGATTGTGAGAGCAATAAGAATGCCCGAGATAGTTTTCATAATTCTTCTGTTTTACAATAGAACAAAATTTTCTCATATTAGCCAAATTCATGCTTAAGATTATAAAAGGTCTTCTGTTTTATTTTTAATGTGAAAAGAAAATACTTAGGCTGGTGGTACATTATCTTCCTTAGTTTTCTATGTTTTATTTGCTTGTCTATTGTGCTATGTAATTTACATTTTAGAAATAGAGTTCTATGAATTTTGACAAACTTGTGTAATTGTGTAATTTACCACCACTGCAATCAAGACACATAGCATTTCCATGATTCCCAACAATGTCCCCATGTTCCTTCACAGTCAACTCATTCACTCCCATACTCTGGTCCCTGGCAACTACCAATCTGTTATTTATCTCTCTAGTTTTCCTTTTTCCAGAATGTTCATATAAAAGATTCAAACAGTATGTAACCTTTTGAATCTGTCCTCTTTCACTTAGCATGATACTCTTTAGATTCATCCGTGTTACTGTATGTATTACTAGCACCTTCCTTTTTACTGTGGAGTAGCATTCTACTGTATATTCCGTGTGCAGTTGGCTTATGCATGTACAAACCGTATGTTTGTGCAATTGGACTTTTTGGTTGTTTCCAAGTTTTGACTTGCTCCATATCCTTGTAAGTATTTGGTATGATCAGTTTTTAAAAATAATTTTTGTTAAAATACTTTCTGTTGTTTTTGTTGTTATTCAGCTTCTTTCATTCAGCATAATTATTCATCCAAGCTGTTGCTGAAAATTTTACTTAGTATAGAATTCTAGGTTGATATTTTTTTTAGAATTTTTTAGAATTCATAGTACTCTACGTTGACAGTTTTCTGTTTAAAGATATTGCTCACTGTCTTCTCATTTGCCTTGCTTCCAGAGAGATCTGCTATCACTCTTTTCTTTATTTCCATATACTTAATGTGACTTTCCCCCCATCTACTTAAAAAATTTTTTTCTTAATCAGAAAGTTTGAGCAATTTGATTTTTAATGGGTTTTGGTGGGTTTTTTCTTTTCTTTATTTTTATTATTTATTTTTATTATTTATTTATGTAATATAATTTATTGTCAAGTTGGTGTGTTTTTTTAATTAAAAAATTTTTTAATGTTTTATTTATTTCTGAGAGAGAGAGACAGCATGAGCAGGGGAGGGTCAGAGAGAGAGGGAGACACAGAATCTGAAACAGGCTCCAGGCTCTGAGCTAGCTGTCAGCACAGAGACTGAGGCGGCGCTCAAACCCACAAACTGAAGCCAGACGCTCAACTGACTCAGCCACCCAGGTGTCCCTGGTGTGGCTTTATTAATGCTCTTTATGTTTAGATTTTATTGAGCTCCTTATATCTGCAATTTTTATTTTTATCAAATTTGGAAAAATTTTAGCTCTAATTTCTTTACATATTCTTCAGTCCTTCTTTTTGGAGACTTTAATTACACATACATTTCACTGCTTGCAGTTGTCCCAAAGCTTAATGATGCTCTTTTGTTTTTTCCTCCAGAAAACAGAAAAGGAGAAAACACTCTTCAACTCTTTTTTTTTTAAATAAATAACTTATTTTTTGGAGCAGATTTAGACTCATTGCAAAATCAAATGAAAAGTACAGAGAGTTCTCATATAACCCCTCCCCCACGCATACACAGCCTCTTCCACAACTGACATCCCACATCAGAGTGGTATATTTCTTACAATTGATGAGCCTACGTTGACACATCATTATCACTCAAAGTCTACAATTTACATTAGTGTTCACTCTTATGTTGTACATCTGTGAGTTTTGCCAAACCTATAATGACATATGTCCACAATTATAATATCATATGGAATAATTTTACTGCCCATAACACATTTTACATTAGGAGCCACAGAATGGCATTTGAGCTAGTACTACTCTACCACCCCAACCTTATTTATTATTTTCCTCCTTATTCACTCTGGCTTTTTTTCTGTTCCTTCAACACATCAAGCTCATTTCTTCCTTTCTTCTTGTCCTTTGCTCTTGCATTAACCTTATCTGGAAATCTCTTTCCTTTGAAGACTATTGTTATTTCCCTTGCAATCACTTGCTAATCATATTACACTGTTTTCAAAAAATTTTTCATAGCACTTATTACTATCTAAAGTGATTTTGTTCATTTGTTTATTTATTTATTTATTTTTAATGTTTTTAATTTATTTCTGAGAGAGAGAGAGACAGCATGAGCAGGGGAGGGTCAGAGAGAGAGGGGGACACAGAATCTGAGGACAGGCTCCAGGCTCTGAGCTAGCTGTCAGCACAGAGCCTGACGCAGGGCTCGAACCCACGAACCGTGAGATCCCTGACCAGAGCTGAAGTCAGACGCTTAACCGACTGAGCCACCCAGGTGCCCCTGCTCATTTGTTTATTTAATAATTCATCATTTACTTCTCTTCCACTTCACTCTCGGACACCCATTAGAATGAAAAATGGGATCTTTACTGCACATCAAAATATACCTGGTCACAGAGTAGGTAGTCAGAAATATGAAAAGTAGATGAATGATGATTATATTTGCCTGAAAATCAGTGATCTTTCTTAATCCAAGGAATTATATCTATACTGTACCCTTGTACATTTATTTGTTTTCTTCTTTCATCTGACTAATGGAAGGCAGCAAGTGTCATGGGCTGTGTGTGTGTGTGTGTGTGTGTGTGTACTTCAAACAAACCTTATCCGCTCGGCTCCAAAGGGCTTTGGGAGGTGGTTCTCCAGTGACAGGAATCTCAAGACGAAGCTTGCTTCCTGCAATTACTGTCACTGTATTGTCAGCATCAAGACCATCCAGGATGATCTTAGGAGGATCTAGAATATTAAACATGGCCTTTGTTATCAGACAATCATTTCCATGTGAATATCTGGGCTAGTATTTTGCTAGTGCTAAATACTGGTAGCACCAGTATTTTATCTGGCCAAAAGGAATATGAGAGGAGTCAAAGTAGCTGGTGCCTGGCACCTTGCAAAGCTACTTCATTGTAAAACTTCTTAAGAATCAACTATTATGATTAGTGACATACCAATTCATGTATTTTTTCTTTAAATATCACAGTTTTGAATGTATTATATTTCCAAGGTAAGCAAAAACAAAAAAACAAGAATACAACTCTGCAATGATTTATCTACTCACCGATAACACGAACTTTGGCAGGCAAAGTAACCGAGTAGGCATCTGGTGCAAATACATAATCACCTTCATCCTCAAGGAGAGCATTGGCTATCACTAACTTGTGGATTCTAAGGGAACAAGAAAAACATTTCTAAGAATTTTCAAAGATTTAGATTGTATATGGCCCAACTAAAGAGACAGCTGGCCTTTATCTGATGAATTTGTTTAGTGCAGGCTGGAGAGAAAGACCAAGAAACAGACAATATTTATTGATCTTCATCAAATATTCATTTTTGAGTTTATGAAATTATCTGTACAAATACAGTATGCTTATTATGTATGCAAAAGTATAGTATTCCTTTTTCATCTCATAGCTTTAAAAAAAGGCTAAAATATAACATCTCACTAGTGCCATACTTAATGATTTAAAATATTACTAAGAACAATCTTGACTTTAGGTTTATATGACAAATCTAAAAGCAGTAGTTCTTAACTTTTGGTGGATCAATGAATATCTGATGGACGCCACTGATCTGGAGAAAAGTATGTATTTTTGTACATACAGACTTTGCTTACAAGTTCAGAGGATTTATGGGGCCCCTGAAGTTCATTAATGACCTTAACAAGTATCATAACCAGGATCCAGAGATCCAAGGTTAAGAACTCTTGCCTTAGATCTTTGTTAGATTCTAGGATATTATGTCCACCCCCCAAAATTGTGGAAAGGTCACGTGACTTATTAGGTTGGGACAGTTAATCCTTTTGATTGAATCCATAGGATTTAGTATCATTCCTTTAGCCTTGTGTTTAGATGGAAAGAGTCAGTCAATGGCTTTTGAATAGACAAAGTACCATATACCATAAAGTGCAGACCAAGGATCACTGGTAGGACATGATGTAGAACAGAGGAGTCATACATTCTTGCTATTTGGGAGCAAAGAACCAGAAATAGATCCTCTCTTTATAACTACTCGCTAAACCTCCTCGCCAAATATGTAATTTAGGAAGTACAGAAAGAGTGCATATTGGGACCAGTTACGAACTAACTTGCATACCTTCCTTTGTGAACAACCTTTAGACGGTCAGTTTCCTGAACAGGTAGGCCATTTTTAGTCCATTTTCCTGGTATGTGTTCAGAGATTTCACACTTCAAGCAGATTTCTTTTCCAAGGTTTACAGTTTGATCAGTCAGAGGTGTCAAAATCTTCAGAGGTTTCACTACAGAAATAACATTTATAAATGCCAAACCCAAACTCCAGACAGGCCAAGATGGTATCTTGTTTAGAAAAGGAGAATTTGTTCCAGTGCAATTGATATATTATGGAATAACCAGAACGTAACAAAATATCATGTTTGATTATGCATGATTTCATTCATGAAAAAGAAGAAATGGTACCCAGCTGAACTGAGTCTGGTACAACTGCACAAAATGTCCATGTGTGTGCATGCACACACACATACACATGTCAAACATCTACCAGCTGCTTGAATCCACCCAGGCAACACAAACCACACTCATGCACATCAGAGATTACCACTGTCCATCCAATTTCAGATAAACTCTTCCCACTATTTAACAGTGTCTCACTAGCTATACTTCCCACACTGCCTACCCAAGGAAATTTTAGGTCTCATTTAACATAAAGTGCTATATTTATTAACCATTGGGCAGGATCCATAGAGCCAAGCTTAAGAACAGTTGCCACAGATCTTAGATCTATGATACTGTTTTTTAAATTAGGTTCTTATTGTTTTGTTTTATTTTATTTATTTTTTTTTTTAATTTTTTATTTATTTCTAGGAGAGAGAGACAGCGTGAACAGGGGAGGGTCAGAGAGAGAGAGAGAGACACAGACTGTGAAACAGGCTCCAGGCTCTGAGCTGGCAGTCAGCACAGAGCCCGACGCGGGGCTCGAACCCACGAACCGCGAGATCATGACCCAAGCGAAAGTCGGACGCTTAACCGACTAAGCCACCCAGGCGCCCCTTTATTGTTTTGTTTTAATGTGTGGCTGAAAAATTTTTGAGTATTGTGCCCATAACCTCATTTTCACCATTAGTCTTGTGGTTTTAATGCATGACTTTGTATAGCATAGTGAGTTTAGAAACGCATATATTGTATTATAGCAGAACCGACTGGCAAATTCACTCATGGGTTATGCAAACATTATCAGGATTGTATATTGTATCTAAGTATCCTCTATTTATGTGGTCTTGGGATTACAGTATTTCTTAACCATTTGGATAATTTCTCTGGCAGGTGATTTTTACACTTCCTTCCCAATGCTGTGTTTTACTATTAATCTGAGTAGTCGATTTCTTTTTCAGAGACCCTGACTGATACGACATAGACACTCAGTTAGAATGGAATCCAATTTTACTTATATAAAATTGCTACCAGTAGCAATAAAATAGATTGAAACGTTCCTAAAATTGAATTACCAAATGCAACACCATTAGTTAGCCAACTTGGAAGATACCTAAGGAGATCTTACTTACAGTCAACACTAAGTTTAGCAGATGATTGTCCTCCTGTCGTCATTACAGAATATTCTGCACTGTCAGCCTTTGTTGCTCCCTCTATGATCAAAATATGTTTTTTGCCGTCAACTTTAATTCGATATCTTGATCTTGGACCAGGAATAATCTCTTCACCATTCTTAAACCTGAGTTTAAATAGATTATAAAAAGTTTTATAAAAAACCCTCCAGGAGATGGACCTTATTGATCTTGTTTTAGGCTCTTTTTTTTTTGTTTTTTGCTATATCTTGGTATCTAAGAACTATTTGTTGAATTGAAGAATGTACAGATCATTACATCAAATAGATTAATAATGTAACAAGGATTGTCTGAAAAATTACATTAAAAGAACATAAGCCCTTTCTTCTCATTCAAGATCAATTGAATGCTAAGAGTGAATATTACCTCTTCCGCTCACTAGTAAGAATTGCATCACTTAGTATATTTTAATTTTTTTTAATGTTTGTTTTTGAGAGACAGAGAGAGAGAGAGAGAGAGAGAGAGAGGCAGGCAGAGAGGGGGAGACACAGAATCCAGAGCAGGCTCCAGGCTCTGAGTTCTTAGCACAGAGCCCGAGGCGGGATGAACCATGAGATCATGACCTGAGCCGAAGTCAGATGGTTAACCGGCTAAGCCAACTAGGCACCCCTCACTTAACATGTTTTAAAGATAGCAATGATTATACATTAGAATGAACAATCTACTCTGTACCAATTGCCACAGATTCATGCTGTGTAATTTACTATACTTTTCAATAAAGGATTTCATTTTATTATCTGAATCTCTTAGCTTTAATTTTGAGGTTGCTCACATAGAACTTGAGAAAACACTCTGTGACTGGACAAAAAACGGTTTTATTTTTTTAAAATAATTGCTGATTCTTAGTTTAAAACATTTTCCTGAGGTACGATAAAAATAAGGTAACTAGGGAAAATATATAATATTTTCCCATGTAAGTTGCCAGCATGGCATGGTGAGAGTAAGCAAGTTTTGGAACTTACAAGCATCCATGGGATCTGGAATGAAACAGATCTGGACAATTGTGAACCATCCATTTCTTACTAAGTGCCTACTTCCCTACATTTACCAATCTAGATTTCTGAATCACTTTCCAGTTTCATAGGTGATAAAACTCCCAGTATCTTTGTAGTTTTAGTTACCATCTCTACTAACGCAAATAAGGTTGTGATTTTCTTTCATATGTGTAAAAGCCATTTCCGGTTCTCCAATCTATAAAGGCATATTTTTAAAACTCTATTAAAAATGGAAAGACCTCAGGAAAGCTACTTACCATTTCACATTGGCATCGTCTTCCGACACCTCACATTCTAATTCCACTCTTTCCCCGCAGTAAGCATTCGTATCTTCCAGCTGTTTGGTTACCATAATTGGAGGTTCTGTTAAAAAAAAAAAAAAGGAGAATCAGAATCATTAAATACCCCAAATCTGCTCATGACCACAGATTTGTTGACAGATAAAAGACCAACAGTAAGAAAAGTATCATCTACCATAGAGTTATGGCTAGATGGTGGTTGATAGTGGGTGATTTTTTTGCAGCCTTGGATAAGTTTTCTCAATTTTCTCAGAACTCTTCAAATCAAATCAATTATTGTTCTGGAAAGTAGACAAAACGTGTATCAAATATCCTTCCTTTGGCAAATAAGAAACTACATGGTAGATATTTGTGATGGAGAATCTGTAACAATATGATTCTTGGGTTCTGGTTGGAGATGGTAGAGATTGCAGAGCTCTCTGTATTCAGAGGGCTTCATTGACACATTCCAGCTCTATTCTCACAATGTTTTAGTACAAGATGGTCTTCAGCATCCTCAGTGCCAATCACTAATTCCCTTTTATTAATAAAACTGGTTTCAAGAGAAGTCTGTCTGCAATCAGCTGAATGTGTGAAATAAGGATCATCCAGTAGAGTTTGTTGGGTTTCAGAAGCTATAACTGGGATAATTATATTGTTTGCTTGAGTCAAAAGCATGAGGTATTTTGACTCACCAGTTTTTTTCTCCCCTAAGCTTTTCTAGCCTTCAACAAACTAAAGGATTAATAAGGATACATAATAACTGCTAACATAGAGGAGCTTCCACGCAGAGCCAATCTACACCCAAGCTAACCCATTTCTAGGGGTTCTATTACCTGTGCCCTAGAGCTTAAGAGCTCACCTGTCATTCTCATTTTGATAACTACCCTTGGGAGAAGGAGTGCCAAAGGCTGTTGAAGACTACAGTAAGAGATTGTACTTTACCTCGCACAAAGAGCTCGGTGGAACATTTCTCATCACCAGCTGTCACATAATACTCTGCATCATCAGTCAGTGAACAGTTATTGATAAACATGATTCTTTCACATCCTTTATGTTCAAAGATGTATCTGTTTGAAATAGGAGGGAGATAACAGTCTGTGAACTTGATTTTATTTTTTTCTTTATTACCAGCAAATGTGGCTTATAATTTAGCAATGTTTAAAAGTCAGGGATATAATTTTGATCTGCCATTTATGTAGCATATCTTACATAGTTTAGTTAACACAAAACATGAAGCCAATTTTTAGCTTTATAATGCACATTGTAATACATATGCATGTTTACACATAATATTTAATATCTGTATTTTTATAGAAGTTTTTATTTCATATATAATTTAGTACTCACATATTTGCTTTTTAGTTTTTTAACCCATTGTTGGAAAATAGGGTTGACTGAAGTTGTCAGAGAGATTTTGAACTCTGTAATTTTTTAAATGACCAATTTATCTAGTTTATTTATTTATTTTTAAGTTTATTTATTTATTTTTGAGAGAGAGAGAGACAGAGAGAATGTGGGGGAGGGGTAGAGAGAGAGAGAGACAGAGCATGGGGAGGGATGGAGGAGATCAGGGAAGGGACAGAGAGATAAAGAGAGAATTCTAAGCAGACTCCACACTGTCAGTGTAGATCCTGACGTGGGCTTGATCCCACGTACCACTGCAAGATCATGACCTGAGAGGAGATCAAGAGTTGGACACTTAACTGACTGAGCCACCCAGGCGCCCCCTAATTTATTTAGTTTATAGGTGGACAGGTACTCAATTTTACTCATTGATTTATTGATTCCACTCATGGCTTAGTGCAGTGGCACAATAGATTTTGTTAGGTGAATAAGTGATTATACAATTTCAGCAATAATGTGAACTTAATCCGTTACAGGCAGTAATTTTTTCAAATTTGATGTTCTTTTAAATGGGCTTAAGAACTAGTATGATCATATCACAGTAACCATCTACTAAAAAAGAACTTGAACATTTGGAAACAAAAAACTAAAAGCCAGGAATATCACAAAATTTAATTGTCTGTGATCTGGATTATGGCTGAATATATTAGGGCATTATAACAGACTGAAGAAAATTGTCAAATTGAAGACTTCAAGAATAAAGCATTACACAACATTTTGTAGATAAAAATAACTGACTTAAATTATGTTTTTGGTAAATTCAAACTGCTTTCAAGAGATTTTTATCAGACACAAACATTATCACAAAGTCACTCTGTAGGCATGACCACATGAAGAAATTGGAAACCACCTAACTGTTCTCCAGAAGTGACAGATTTTCAGGATTAAAGTCTTTTTATAAATGTGCATGTGGCTCCTCTTAACTTAAAAAATATATATTGGAGTTGAAAATCTCTCAGGCTGAGAAGGATCTGTGTAAAGTAGTTTTATGATAGACTAGCAATACCATCAGACATCAAGGATTAGTTTGTTTCCTTCATTTGTAAGAAAGCCAAGAAATAAAATACAGGTTTTAGATGCTCTTTTGGAAAAACAAAGTTCTCTAATTGTGAGGTGTTATTCCCAGGTGGTATATCAAATACATATTTCAAATTTTTCAAAATTTTATTTTAAAAATTGGGAGAAGTTTTGACAGTATTCTGAAATAGTTACATATAACCGACATTGACACAAAACTGGAACTGGAATCACTCAAAATAGTTTGTATAGAATGCAAACATAAAACAAGGTTTTATTTAGATAGCACTGTAATTTGAATGGCTCCGAAATATATGAAAAATTTTTACTCTCCCTCCATGTGATTTTGCATTAAAAAGGTATAACAAAAGCATGTTTTTATTCACAGAAAACTAAGTCAAACTACAGTTTGATTTACATAGCTATCACTGATTATTTGCAAAGCCCACTTACTTTGTACTGGGTCGAATTTCTTGACCATTTTTATACCATTTCACCTCCAACTTTGGGTCTGCCAGTTCCACAGCAAACCTTACTCTGCCTCCTTTATCAACCTGATATGCAGGGTCAAGAATTTTTGCAAAAGCTGGTAGAGAGAAAGAGCAAAACTATGTCAATATGTGTGTACTTATGTTGTGAATTTAAATAGTCAATGTATGTATATGAACCTAAAACTGAATGTAAAATTGAGACTTGAAAAAAATTAGGAACCTTCCAAAGTATCCTCTATATTTTAGAATTCTGTGCTGATTTATACATGATAAGATGGTTTAACAATTTGAAAAGAACCCACAGATTTTTGAAAGAATCATAAGAGTTATTGAAGAGCCTTTAAAAATGATTGTCCTAACTCTTCAGGAAATTGTAAAGGATCCAGATGAAAGTGAACTTGAAGAATATGCCTGTTCTAGCATGATTACTATCAGGATCATTGGCATTCTCTCTGTACTTCTTGTATGTCACAGATAGTTTTTTAACACAGAGTTTATGAGATACATTCAATGACTCATAAGATTAAATTGAATGCCTTTGACTAATTGAAATAGTAGACTTATCAAAGTTTCTGTACTTCGGAAACTTGTCCAAATAGTGACACATATTAAATACTTCTTACCTATATGGTTAGGAACTGAGGATTTCAAAACATTTTAAATAACATAGAACATAGTAGTTTAAAAAATATTATCTTTGAAAGGTCCCAAGCAGAAATTAACTTCTTTTTAAATTTAATAGTTTCTCCCTATTTTAAAGATAATACTAATTTAGACAGTTTGGAAAATACATACACCTGTGGAATGCCTCGTGGAATTTTTATGCTTCTACTTCCATCATTACAACTTTGCCATAGTATTGCTTAAATAAACTCCCTTCCTCATATTTTAACATAATAAAATAAATACTAGCTTTAAAAAAGTTATTTATATGCCTCATGACATCAATTCAGAGCTAAGTGGCAAGAATTAGGCCAGTGTAGGGGGGGAAAGGAGATGTCAGCTGGCTCTTTACTTTGGCATTTACATGCTTGTGACAAGCAAACAATTGCAGATACCTCCCAAGAATTAAATTTCTGAAACTTTTGAAGTTTTGAAATAGTGAGGATGGTTGAGTTAGGTAAACGGAGCAAAAACACAACACTTCTATATTTCTCTGGGTCCATTTCTCACCCAGTTTACAGTGAGGTTTAGAAATAAAGGGCAGATTTTTAAAAAGAAATGGTGAGTCTTTAAATTCTACTTGGACATTCAGGTTGGGTGCCTAAATAAATAAATAAATTCTATTTGGACACTAATAAACAGTAAATAATAATAGGATTGATATGTTACCTTGATGTGTAACAAAATGGATAACTGCCAATGACCAAGTCTAGGAAACTTTGAAGAGCTTACGATCAATTTAAAATGTCTCTCTTCTTTAAATTTTAAATTTCAACATCTCAAATTAATTCTTAAAAGTATTTAAAACCACAACAAAATACATTCACTTCAGATCTCTAGGGAGCAGCATAGCTGTTTTACAACCGCATTGGATGTAAGAGGTGAATTTCCCCAGTCCCCACTAAATGGGTGGAAGAATATGATAGTAAAACAAAGACATCGAATCTACTCTAAGAATCAAGAATTTCAGAGTGAGGGAGATGTGGAGGCCACCGAGAAACTCCCAGTGAGAGCGAAGATGTTTAATGTTCCGTTACACGCGGTATGCGGCACTTGTAAAGTCCATCTCCTTTACCTTAACCGCTCGCTAGCAGTCCGCTACCCTCGTACTACTCATGTGCAGAGCCGTGAACTCCTTCGCTCGAAGCCAAACGTAAGGAGGAAAACTGCAAATTCCACCCCGTCTATTCCCACCCCCAACCCAGCGGGGGATAGGAAGCATCCCTGTAGTGGTTCACCATTATATCCTTCGTGCGCTTAAGATGCTGGCCAGGCTGCCACGCCGCCCCCCGCCCCTCCAGGAGGGCTCACCTGCGCTCTTCTTCTCCACCCTGCGCATGCGCTTGAGCCGCTTGAGCATGCCACGCAGGTCGGTGATACCGTACTGAAAGGCGATCTTCTCATACTCGTTGGGGTTTGCATTCTTCAGCAGCTCCCACACGTCTACCTCGGGTTCTTCCTCCTGCTGCTTCACCTCCCTAACCGGGGAGAACCATTTCCTAGTTTAGTAGCCGCCCACCGGCCCTGAAGCACAAGGAAGGTTGGAGTATGGTACCGATTTCTCCGTTCAGTATTAAAAGTCCCCCTTTTTAAAGGCTGAGTACGTAAAGGCCGCAGTCTTAAGGAAACTTCCATATAAAGATCTGGTGTCTGCGCTTATAATGACACGTTTCCTAGTTAACAATACACTATTAGGGAGAGAGAAAGGTATCAGGAAATATTCTGAAGATATTTTTACTTATTTTCAACTTGAAAGTTTAAAGAGAAGGTGAGATTTTGAGGAACTTAAGATCAGTTGTTATCTAGGCTATGGGCAACTGAAATAATTTTGAAAAGTGGATTAAGAGTGAGAAGATTTAAATATTGGTCTGTGAAAGAAAAATGATCTCTTTCTCATTGTTGTATACATTCTAGCTATATATGAAGACAGTACAAAGAAGTATTTCAAATTTTAGGATTTTGCAAATAGCATTTTCCTACCATATTAGTAAATGTGTATACTAGCCATTTTTTGCTGCTTTTGTACACAAAAAATATTGACACTGCCAGAAGGTTTTTTAAAAAATATGAATTTTGTAGATACATTCACTTTTTTAAATAATTTTTTTCTAAATTGGCAGGGGAAAAGGAAAAGGCCAAAAATTCTCTCGTATCTCATCTTAAAACACTGTCTTGAAGTTTTTTGAAACCAGGTTGGGTATGAATTATAAAAATATAAAAATATAAATGTTAAACTTTTAAAGCAAATGACTAATTTCCCATGAACAAGGGGAAATACTTTCAATTACAATTATCAAAATTATGACCCTACGTTTTGATCTAAAGAACTTACAGAAAATATAAAGAACACATACGAGTAAGAAAATATGAGATTTAAAGTACACTTGTCCTTATTTTAAAACCAATTATCAGGTTAATTTGAAAATGTTACAGTGACTACTTACTGTGAATAATGCTGGTTTGGATACCATTTTCCAAGAAAACTGATCAACACATCTTAAACACCAGTGTGAACAAATTCATGCTATCATGTTAGCAAGTGATGGGTTACATGTGTTTACATTATCACATTAATTATACCTGTTTCTGCACTTTTTGAGAAAATACTGGATTGTAATCAAAGGGAAGGAGAGGAGATAAATATTAACATAGAATTTAGAGTGGCGTTAGGCAAGAATGACTTGTAAATATCTGATTTACATTGTCATATAAGTCTTTTTGCCCAGTGGAGGAGGGTACTGAGGCAAATCTCCTGGAAAGTGGAAGGAAATGGGAGGTCATTGGTCCATCAGTAACCTTTATGGGAAGGACCTGACAACACCGTTAGGAAAATGTGCCTCCTAAAAACTCAAGATACAAGTATTATCCTTGTATGTCACTGAGATAATAACTACACACTCTATTAACACAGATAATTTGAAGAGCTTGAGAACATTGTCCTAAAGTTGGAATATTGGTAATAGTTTGCCAGATCTACTAGGTTTACTGTCTGAAAGCAGTCTAAATTTCAAATACATACTTTAAATATTTTGTAGAAAGTCTTGGTAAATTGCAATTAAAATGTGTCTGAATGTTCCTATGCATAGTCTTTGTTCATGTTTCTTCAACCACTTTATTAATGCTCTACTTTTTTTTGTATTCCAGCCTATAGATAGTCCCCACACTGTAAAAGAATGCCATATTACACTGTGTTAAATTTGTATTTCAATCAAGAAGAATTACATCCACATTTCAAGTATCCTCCCAACACTGGTAAAAGGATTTAAAGGTACCAAACTAGATTAAAATAGCAAGAAGCACAAGTCAAGCACTAAGATATAACTAGATCCATGATGTGAATATTTATAGAGTGGGAAGCTGGTATAATGATCATAGTTGTCAGTGTGATTTCTTTAAGTCAATTTTGTTGGTAGATTCATAAAACCAATCATTTTCACCATTTTTTCATTAAAACACCAAAATACACCTTGCTCTACTATGTTCTTAATTTTATCAGACTTGGTATACACACACCAGTGACCTCTTGCCTATTCCTTCTTTTTCTCTTTATTACTTAATTCAACTCCAAATTGCAAGAAGTATTCGTTATTTTTTGCTGGAGTGTGAGGTCAAGGCTTCCACCTGCAGCATTACCTTAGCTCATCCAGAACATATCTTTACTTACCATGGTGGCTGTGCATGGCCCTATCTGCATGGTTACATTAAATTACAGTAGGGAGAGAAATTCATATTTCTATAGGCACTACTGATTCTTTTTCAAGCATTGGGATAGACCTATATAATATTCACAGTATTTTCATCTACATCAAAATTTCTATAAATTGATGGTCCTAGTCAAGTACAAAGCAATTATAGAAATTTTATATAGACTAAAACTTTCAAATATATATATATATATATATACATACATATATGTCATATCCCATAACAAGATTCTGCCTAATAGATTTACTCTGATTTAGCTAATGTTTATTTGAAATACTCCGGCTTTTTTAAGGTGAGGGAGATCTTTTGTTGTAGAGAGATGTTGATTGTAAAGATATTTATTTTGATAGGGATTTTGCCACACACTCTTAGAGGAGAAATGGTGTCATTGTCACAATGAAAACACATGCAATTCACAAATTAGTACGAAAACACAATGATTTCTAAAATTATAATGGTGGATTACTATAGTATATTAAATGAATATAGTCTTATGCTAACAACAATTTAATTATGAGTCAAAATCATAATTAAGGGATGTAAAGAAAATGAGAACTGGAAACATGTTGGCTGCCCACTTTTTCTTCAGTAATTTTGGTCATTAATTAGATTTCTTTGACTCTGCAAACTACTGGTGGTGTGTTCTTTTTTCTTTCTTTTTTCCTTTTTAATCAGAACATGGTGTTTAATAATCTATTGTATTACATCTTGATTGATTGATTCGTGTGTGTGTGTGTGTGTGTGTGTGTGTGTGTTACGTCTTTTTATGAATAAAGGAAACAAAGGCTCTTCAAAGGAAGAGTCAATTTTTGGTGGGAGTCAATATTTGACACCTACTATGAGCCAGCCTTTTACATTTGATTTAAGTAGCTTTTGTTCTTCACATTTACAGATGTGGAAAACAAGTCTCAAAGAGGACATGTAATTTCACCAAAACAATGCAGTTTGTAACTGGGAGAGTTGAGACCCACATCCATATTTTTACCACTATCTTTTCCTTCCCACAGATGTGTATTATGGCCCTCTCTGCATTCCAGGCACTGGTAGGCACTGGCACATAGAAGGCACAAAGGAAGCATTTAGTGTTTTCTTGGTTGAGTAAATGATTGTAGGAGGAAAAAAAAAATCTCTTGTCTTCCTAAAGTGTCAATTTGTATTATTAATTGAAGCACCAACTTTCAAAGCAAATGCAGTATAGTATTTATTATATGGGATGAGCTGACTCAGAGGAAAACGTGGATTTAGGTCCCTGCCCTGTCTCTAATTAGCTGTAAGACTCGGGATAAGTCACTTGACAACTCTGGTCTTTGGTTTCTCACCTGTAGCATGAGGAAGGGTAAGGTTCACTTAGGGTCACTTCATATACTATTACTTTAAATAAATTCGGGGAATTAATAGATATTATTGAGACTAATGATTATTTGAAGTAGCTAAAGAAGGAAAGATGTACTTGATATTGCCTAGGTCTCTTGATTGGCTAATATCCACTGGTAATTAATAAATTATTTGTTAAATTATTAAATATTAACAATACTGTTACTATTTCTGCTCTCAACCTAAACACTTAGACCTGGAGGAATTTTTCATTCATAGAGACTTGAATAAAGCCATCCAACTAAACTGAGAACAGACACAAGTCCATTTTATTCTATTTGTACTTTGTTGTGAAATGGATTTATTATACATATATTTCTTTAGTAACCATAGAAAGCACTAAAAGTAATAAAAAGTGAACCTGAAAAGGTAAATAAAATATGATATCAATATTACATGTTATTAATTTAGAACTGTAGTTTCATGAGTTATTCACACATTTGGTGGGTAAATAAAATCCCAGAAAAAATCAACTTCTTTTAGTTGCACTATAGTAAATATCTGGATATGTATAGGTTTATATATAACTCATATGTAATACATTATATGATTATTTATATGCATATATGGGCAGAAATCCTTTAAAATGGTTATGTACTGAATATCCATAATGAAATCTATAAATTTCATTGTAAGAGAACATTGTTAAGGGAGTGAGTAACAATATTAAACACTTATTTCCATTTTACTACATTTATCTCTTCTAAAATGCATACTTTTTGACTTATCTTTAAAATAAGGTTGTTTCCTATAATCAATAGTGTGTCATAATAAACACTGGAGCAATTTTTTCATTGCTTACTGATTTATAAAATAAAGATGTATATTAAAATGAATGATGTCTTAGATTTGATGAAACCTAATCATAAATACTATTTTATGTGTTTATATATACATTATATATATATACATATATATATAATATATATACACACACATACACCTGCAGAGACTTTTATCAAAATTGTGAAATTGACTTTTTGGTAAAATATCAAAGACAGGAGAATAGAGGCTCTATTTATTTGGTCATGACAAAGAATCATGCTTGAAATGATTGAAATCATTAGAGAAATCAGAGGCTTCTAGGTAGTTAAGTCTTTCGCCTAAGTTTTCAGATCTCTTCATCCCCAACTAAGAACATATGTGAAACTCATGAAAGATTAAAAAGAAGGTTAAAAAGCATCAGCTAAAATTTTTAGCAGATTAGTATGCAGTGGTTTTTCTGTCTCTTTCTTAGTTGATTCTGTGTTATATTCTATAAGCGAAACACATTTTAAGAAATGAGAAATTCTTCGAAAAACATTCACTTTAAACTTGACTTCTCTCAGTAGGTGTCTAAAAGATTTCCAGGCCACAGCGCCTCACTCCATCGCTTGGTTCTCACCTACGTTTCAGGAGACCACTAAAGTCAAGTTCCCCTGCATCCTCTTGACCTTCTCCACTGTCATTAACAAAAGAAAAGCAAATCTGTTTTTAATGCTGAGACATATACACAACAGTTTCCCCCAAACACTCTACATATAATGTATATGCAATTTTATACTGGCACACAAGTCATGGGACTAAATCAAACACAAACTATTTCTTTTCACACAAGTGACATTTTAAGTTTTGTAGTATGTACTTGTGGAAAAGTAAACACGAAGAGCTTGTGTTACTCTACGATTTCAGAAGACACATTTTTGTAGATTGCATATATAAAACTGCTTGGATTTGTGTTAAAACAGAGTAACACAAATGCACTTAAGCCAAGCAACACAAAGTACTTTGTTTTTTCAAGTTGGGGGCTGTAGAAACATTCCTGTGTAAAAAGCAAAGGACTTTTGCTGATCTCTGTTATTCATGTCAGAGATTGGCTTGGAGGATGAAGCATACCAGTGTCAAATATATAAGTACAAAGCTTATATTCAAAGGTAACTTCTTTGTGTCCATCAATAGTTGAATCAGATAATGTGATACCAACATAACAAAAATGGAGCTAGTGCAGAGCTTTTTAAAAGATGCATTCCTTTCTGTTTTAAAGGAAAATCATTTTAAGCTTTTCATTTTCTTGTTGATATTTATACCTTTTGAAATGTATTTTTCAAAAATTTGACTTTGAATTATTGATGAGCCCTTTACTAGGAGTGCTTTCCTATAGAGAAATGCATCTTAAGTCAGGCATGCAGCCACCTTCATGATTTCATAGAAACTCTAAATAGAAGCTATGGAGCTGACATTTAAATGGCACTACATATTTACTTACATGTTTAATTTTTAAATGAAGATTTTGTTTCCTGCTCTTTACAAATGTTAGTTATGGTTTCTAAGAAAAGAGTCTGCGGGTTTAAAAACAGTGTGTATAACACATAAATTATAAGAATTAAACTCGATGTGGTTTCAAAATTTCTTTAATAGCAGGTATTTAGAGAAGACCTTTTGAAGTAGACACATTTCTATTCTATTAAAGCACAAAACTTAGTAGATTACATCTCCCTCTCTTAGACTATGCTTGTACATAGGATGAACATAGTTTTAGACCTAAGCATTTGCTGATCATGGAGGAAGGGGAGGAGGAGGAAAGTAATAGGATTCAAACTTATGACTTAAAAAATAACAACTTATTGATCAGGTAATATTAAATACATTTTTAAGTAATTAAAATGTTCATTTATTCATAATTTAGGAGAGAAATATGCTTTTTTTTAACAGACTAAATCATTACTTTATGATAGTTTGGGATGGCTTTTCTTATTCAACAAAGCTAAGTGGATTCAGTCTTAAGAAGAACAAAACATTTGTTCTCATTAATGAACTCACATTATGGAAAAATTAAGTACAGAGAGTAAGATCATGTCTGGAAGGGGCTAGTTACATTTTCTATAGACTAGAACTTTTTTTTGTTCTCAATTTTCTTCCTTGTCCCCCAACCCTCAATTTTTCAGCCTTGGCAACTACAAAGTAAATCAAATGGGTATCTATACTTTGCTTTTCTATAGTTTTCTTTATTCTAGTGGACTCAGTGGTCTTTCATTTAATAATCCATATTTAAATAGCTCTAACTTCAGTAAGTCACTATTTAATTGTGGTTTTCTGGGCACATGAGTAAATAGCTCTATAAGTAATTTCTACATGAAAAGCAACATAAATAAGAGTTTTCTGACATTACTTAACTGATGCAATATTATTATACATCTTTCTTGGCCATTTGGTAGAAAATAATGTAATTAAGGACGAAGTCACATGTGAAGAGATTAAAGGCAACTGTGTTTTCAAAAGGCAACTGTGAAACCTGAAAAAAAATGGGAGCTTCACTATGACTGGAATAATCTAAAACATGATCAGTATATAACTGATTTGACAGTAAACCTATAGCTTTTCTAGAACACTAACCTTTGTATATATAGTATGTTTGACTAAAGAGGTGTTCTCATTTGGAAGACAGAGTGAGGAGGAAGGAAATAAGTGTTTTTAAAGCCCTCCACTTGCACGTTATACCAAAGCTACCTAGATTCCCCTTTTGAAGTTACCTTCTCTTGAAAGCAGATCTGATGTCAATGTTTGGAGTAGTCCCAGTAGATTCTTTGAAAGGAAAGAAAACAATAAAATAAATACCCATTACGAAGGCAATTTTGTGTTCAGTTCCTTTCCAGGCTGTGGGGATTCCTCAGATGGAAGGAACACCAGGTAGAGGGGGGGATGGCTCTCCTCCTGGATGGCTGAGCTGCTGAGGCATCATACCTCATCCTCCCTTACACAGAATTTATGTGGGCACTGAAGGAGGTATATATCCAGTTGTCATTCTACCTGCCTTCCCACTAGAATCACCTGAAGAACTTAAAAAAAAAATAACTTTTTGATCCCCTTGCTGGAGATTTCGATTCACCAGATAAGGGATGGGCACCCAGAAGTCAGTATTCTTTAACAGCCCTTCAGGTGATTCTCAGAGATGCCTGGCCAGTTGAAGAGGCACTGCTCAGGACCAGATTCCCACTTGATACAGAAATCTCTGTAGGCTTTACTTGGCCTCTCTTGAAATGGGGATTTCATACCCTTCCCACACTGTTTACATAGCTTTAATGAAAGAGCTCAGGCTAAAGTTGAGACCAAAAAAAATTCACCTCCTTATAATCCCTACCTTTAAGTTTGAATTTGTCTGAAATGCTTTTGGGTGATAGCACTTCCCCTATTTATGAGTTATGTATGCTTGGCCTCTTTCACCACATTCAGCTGACTAGGGTATGGTTTCTGGGTTCTTCATCCTCCTGGGTACCTTACTCCAGAAGAGATCCAGGTTGATGTATGGTGCCCATGGCAAAAGACATTACTCTAAATGTGGAACCAGTAGCATGTTGCAGGAGTAACATTTCCTAAGTCTAGATCCTATTCCACTTGTTATAGCCCAGCGTTAAATTATACCAGCTTTGTTTCTTGTAGCTGTATCACACTTTGGATTCATCTTAAGTTTATGATCTTTGTTCCTAAGTCAACTTTCTCTTTGTATACTTATAGAAGTGGGTTCCCCCTGCCCCCCCCCAACTATTTACATTTGCCCTATTAAATTTACTCTGGGCACCACACAGAACATATGGATGGAAAACTGTCTTAGAAGAGAAATCCTCCCTTCCACCTGGGTATCCTAACATCCTGGGTACATATGAAATTATCCCCAGACTTAAGTGGGAATATGTGGGCCAAATGAAACAGGCACGTTCAGTAGAAGAAAAAATGGCATCAGCCTTTATCCAGAAGATTGCAGGAATATAGATACCATGGGCAAGAGGTATTTAGCAGTAAAATCCCCAAAATTCCATTTCTAAACTGCTTCACAACAAGTTAACTCAGCAGGCTTGCTGAGACTACCATAATCAGAAACACACACAGTTTGAAAGAAAACTTTATTTTCAAAATCTCATAGTATTAAATGACCTTCTCCTCTATCCCCTCACATCCCATGGGGGAGAAAACATCTATCCAGACAAGAAAACTCTCTTACCGTGTACTTCAAGATCGAATGTGCAGCTGTCAAACTTATCCTTATAGGTGACCTCGCATCTGTAGTTTCCTGCATAGTTCTCTTTGGCCTTGATGATCTGCATCTCAAATGTGTACATCTGCAACAAAACGCATCTGGCACATTTCAGCTCAGCTTTGCCAACTGAAAGAAGCTATCACATTTCAGTTATTTTTGAAATTTCTCAGCATTGGCTAAATGTTGTTTTTCTATCTGGGGGCTCCAGCACAGCACCGTCAACATAGGAGGGGGTCAATGTGCTCCCCAACTTAGGACACAGCAGGGCAACCAGGCTTGAGTATAGGCACTAGGAATGGTAACTCTAGAGAATTTTCTGGGACTGAAATCTCTCAAAGCTGAATCTGAAAATGACACAGAAGGAATGACCTAGCCTAACCCCCATGCCAGGAGATGAGAGCCATACCCGAGTGTGCCTTTCGAAGGTTTCCTTCAGCTGGAGGTGCTTCCCAGCTTTGCTGGCCAGGTCCATCCATTTCCCTTTGAACCATTTGATGGTGGGTTTTCTAAGAAGGTCTTCAGCCTTGACTTTGGCTATAAAGGTGATATTCTCACCTAAAAAAAGCACAAGCGATTCAGGCTGTGGCTTAAAAAAGTGCCATTAGATTTGCTCTCAACTGGAAGGAGTTGCACAGGATTGCACTGCAGAGGCTGCAATGTGCCTGGTGCCCTGATTTTTTATGCATGCCCTAGGAATTCTTAGGATACTCCAACTTGTTCTGCTTTTGGAGTTTGTGAGGCAGAAAAGGAGCAATGGTTTAATCAGTGAAAATAATTTTTGTTTGGCTTTATCATATATATATGAAATAAAAATGGAAAGCCTCACAAATGTATGAATTTTTTCCATCCTTTTTGTTAGGTAAGATGATGGGAAGTCCAGATTTACATGACTAAATATGACTAAATAAAATTGATCTTTCTGAAATAAAACTGCTTATCCATTTATATTTATTCTTTGGGACCTAAGGACATAAAAATTCTAGCCTAGCATTCAGCCAAGCACTTTGTGTCTTCTAGAAACTAAAGGGAAGCAAATATTTCCATCAACATGCAATGTGCTTCTATATTCTAGACCTGAAAGAAGTAATTTTAGAATACAGTCAATCAGCTATGTGCTCATTTGTTCTGATCACAATATATTCCTTATAAAGACTTATTTTGTGAAAATTCCTGGACCCCCAGGTATTCTCTAACTTACCATCCTGCTTATTTCCTTCATGGCACTTGGCTTTTGTGATTATCTGTTTGTTTAATTTCTCATTGTCTGTTCCTCTCATTAAGACTGAAAGTTCTGAGGCATCTAGGTGTCTCAGTCAGTTAGGAATCAGACTCTTGTGGCTAAAATGAGCAAATCAGAGAACTCTAGATGCTGGCGAGGATGTGGAGAAACGGGCACCCTCCTACACTGTTGGTGGGAATGTAAACTGGTACAGCCCCTCTGGAAAACAGTGTGGAGGTTCCTCAGGAAACTAACCATAGAACTCCCCTATGACCCAGCAATAGCACTGCTAGGAATTTACCCAAGGGATACAGAAATGCTGAGGCATAGGAGCACATGTACGCCAATGTTCATAGCAGCACTCTCCACAATAGCTAAAACATGGAAAGAGCCTAAGTGTCCATCAACAGATGAATGGATCAAGAAGATGTGGTTTATCTATACCATGGAATACTACATAGCAATGAGAAAGAATGAAATCTGGCCATGTGTAGCAACGTGGATGGACCTTGAGGGTGTTATGCTGAGCGAAATAAGTCAGGCAGAGAAGGACAAATATCATATGTGTGCACGTAGAGGAGGATTAGGAGGAACTTGACGGAGGAACAAGGGGGAGAAGAAGGGCGGAAATGGTGGGGGAAAGGGAGAGAGGCAAACCATGAGAGACTCTTGAATGCTGACAAAAACTGAGGACTGATGGATGTGGGGGGGAGAGGGGGATGGGCATAGAGGAGGACACTTATGGGGATGAGCACTGAGTGTTATGTGGAAACTAATTTGACAATAAACTATTTGTAAAAATAAATAAATAAATAAATAACTAAGACAAGCTGGAAAAAAAAAAAAAAAGGAATCAGACTCTTGATTTTGGCTTAGGTAATGACCTCACGGTTTGTCAGATGGAGCCCTGTTTTGGGCTCTGTGCTGACGGCACTGAGCCTACATGGGATTCTTTCTCTATCTCTCTCTCTGCTCCACTCCCCCTCTCTCTCTCAAAATAAGTAAATAAACTTAAAAAAATACTGTAAGTTCTGAATTCTCACATCTTATACTCAGTATTCAGCACAGTGTCTAAAACAGATGTGTAATCAATATTTTTGGAATGAATATCCCTAAAGTTGAACCCTCTGTCCACTAGTTTTTGCTGAGATACTATATATTAATCATATGGTATGTGTGTAGATTTGTAAACATCTTATGGAATAACTGTGCTATAATTGACAGTAATCATTGGCTCAGAGCTTTAAGATATGCCAGGCACTGTTCAAACCACCCCACACGTAGTATCCCCATTTTATAGATGAGGAAAGTGTTTTGAACCCAACCTAGCTCCAGAGTCCAGGAACTCAACAACTATTTGCTAAAAGTTACTAAAATGATAGCTGTCACTCTCCTTTTCAGGTTATAAAAAGCAGGATTTAGTACATAAATATGATAGAATAGTATTCAGCCATAAAAAGGAATGAAGTACTGACTCATACTACAGCTTGGATGGAACTTGAAAACATTACGCTATTGGAAAGAAGCCAGCCATAACAGGTCACATATTGTGTGATTCCATTTACACCAAATATCCAGAATAGGGAAATCCATAGAGACAAAGCAGATTAGTGGTTGCCAGGGGCTGGGGGAGGGATAAGGGGCAGGAACTGCTTAGTGGGATATACAGTTTCTGTTTGGCGTGATGAAAACGTTTGGGGACCATATAGAGATGGTGGATGCACAGCACTGAGTGTACTAATAGCCACTGGTTGTTCACTTTACAATGGTAAATTTTATGCGATGTGAATTTCACCTCCATTTCAAAAGAAAGCACGATTTAATGCTTGGTACTCACCAACTTTCACTGATCCGCTTTGGGGCTTCTCCACCAAGAGGGTGGATAGCTGGGAATTGGCGTTCTGCTTGTCTTGTTCTTCCCCAGCAGGTGATTCGCCAAGAGACCATTCTAATGAGAAGGAAGGAGGGAAAGGATCATTTCAGGGCCAGGTTCTTCTTAGGCAGACTTACCTGGGTTTGTCCTTCTTGTCAACGCTGAAGCTTTTCTTTGTCCAATAAACCTGGATAAATATAACATCATTCTTTCCATCCATCTCCCCTGAAGCCGTCAGTAAAGAGTGACAGATTCCCATTGTTAGAAGGGATGCCTCTTCCATAACAGGATAAAGAACATTTTCTAATTCCTAGAAATAGTAAAGCTTTTCAGGTAAGTTGTTACTCTGTGTTTGTTGGCAGCCAGAGTTTCCCCATCCTGTCTGTCCCCTAACAGATAAATAATGGTAGGAAGTATATTAAAGCAGAACTGTGTCATAATAGGCGAATGACTATAATGTGCCACATCTATACAACAACAGAGCTGGAAAAGACTAAAGAGATAAATCAGTTCACTGGTCAACTGGGAAGGATCAGAGAGCCAAACCTAGCCTGATATTTCTAGATTCCTTGCTTTTATATGATTAGATGATTCCACTGAAGTTGCATAAATGAGGCAGTAGTTTGACAATTAAGTAAGGGATCATGACGTGCAGGCAGAAGTTTCAAGAATATTAAGTGCATCCTGCAAGAGGGGAAAACAGAAAAAGAAAAATCGACTCGTTGAGCCTTTCCCATGAAGAGAGAGAAGCTGAAAGTGAATCTTATTTTCATCTTCTAGGTTGTACTCCAAGTGCTGAGCTGGTATTAATCAGCAGTCAACTCCAGCAAGGAGGGCAGGAGAGAGAACTGTAGACATTCCTTCCCTCTGTCTCTAAGAGCTAAACGCAGAGAAGTTCAGTTTCAGCCACTTAGTAACTGGGGAAAAAAAATACCTGGGTTGCCAACTCTCTGTTAGTGTTTCTTGAAAAGAAGGAAATGTACATTTAGTTATTTTAGTTTTCAGGTATCAATCATGCTATCCTTAGAGATCATCATTTCCACAATGAAGTTATACAATGTAGTTATATGATTACGTGTGTGTGTGTGTGTGTATGTGTGTGTGTGTATGAATGTCTGTGATATTCATGGTAAGAATGAATTGTGCCCACTCATATTTGGAACAAGAGGGCAGGAATTTGTATTGTTTTATTCTATACCCACAAGTGTCTGCAAAAGTGCGTGGCCTATATGAGGCCCACAGTAGGATTGTAGGGAGCCTTTAACAGGAATTTGTCGAATGAATGAATGACCTCACAAAATTGTAGTAACTGCTGACAAGATGCATTTGGAGGTTTTTACAAACTGTAATAAAGTTCTAGAGAAATGTGAATTATTCTCTAACTTTAGCATATCCCCAATATGGAGATTTTCAGTTTCTTAATCTCTTTGTACTTGATATATGTCAAAAAATGATAGTTAAAATAAAACAAAGAAATCTGTGATACATGTGGCTAAATTCCTGTATTTGTGTGTGTGTGTCATGCAAAATTAATCATTTCTCAATACATTAGTTTTCTTGTAAGAAGTTTTGTACTAAAAGATTGCTTTTTTTAAAAAGATACAAACGGAATAAAACAAAGATTAGAATCAAAACAGCTTCAAGAAATGAGATCATTAGTGACTTATATTAGGATGTGGTCGAAACGCCTTACTGCAGGAGAGTGCTCACCTGAATCTTTTCTTTCCAGGGCCCGACTACCCACACCTGAAAGGAAAGTGTGATTCGGATGATACAAGGGCAAGGAGTGAAAATGGAGAGCTGACCCCAACCTTCTTGGATTCCCCTAAACCCTGTGTCTCCTCATGATGGGGAGAAAAAACTGAAGTCAGCTTGGGGGAAAAAAATTGAAGTCGGCTTGTTTGGAAAATTAGTAGAGCTTCAAGTATGAATGCATCTATAAAAAGCATGTCTCATTTAAGAAATAGTAATAAAATAATTCACATATCTGAAGAACAGGGGACAAGAGCATATAGCTGGAAATGGAAGAAAAACTTTTTTGTCCTTAAAATTCATACCCAAGATTTATTAATCTTATTTATTTCACAAAGAAAGTTTCCTTTTATTTAAAAAAAAAACCCACCATTAAAGCCCAAGTTTTCCCTGCTGGTGTTAGCAAGGGCAAAAGCTGGTGCCCCCTCTCTGCACACTGTCTCATCAAGGTCCTCTGCCTTTTCTTTTTCTTTACTGTCAATTGACAATAAATTACAAAGTGGGGTAAGAATTGGAATCATCCTAACCTGGAGGCACAGCACTAGGCGTGGAGGCTTCCTCTTCATCTGAAACAACAAATAGGAAGAAAAAGTCAAGAAGAAAAGGACTTTGTCCTGAATCTTCTGCAAAAAGAGAAAGCTGAAAAAAAAATGAGAGAAAACACACAAAACACTGTGAACTGATAAGTTAGCCTTAGAAGACTCGATACCTGAAAGATGAAACTCAGTATTACAGACCAAAGAGAAAAACAAATAAATAAAAGGGTGAGAGAATAGAGAAATCCAATGAAAGCATAGATTGAGAAATGGAACTCTGCAAACGTTTCATGTGATTGTAGGTAGGAAAAAAATTAATGCTAAAAAATAAACCCTGACAAAATCAACAACAGAGGTGTTTTCGAGTTCTTATTTTGTAAATGAAGTCGATGTCAAACATAATTTGTATGTCACAGTCATTTGAGCATAGGCATAAAAAAGTGTACATGAAAGATAATTTGTTTTCCCTTCCCCCAAAACCTTGTGATTAATTCCCTTTTTATATTTAAGAGATAAAAGACAACACTAACTACATTAACTAAGATAAATCAATTTGTCATACTTACTAAGTTTACCAATATTTATTTTAGGAACTTTATGAGCATTTTCCCATGATTATATTGCTATTGGCCAATGCTATATAATTTAAAAATATTTATGAAGGCATATTTGTAAAATTCAAAATATGCCTGATAGTATTTATGTGCAGAGGCACTGAATAATTCTCCTTTTCTAAACTGTCTGAATTTCAAAGCGTCTTTCTAATTTTAGATGTTTAAATAGGCATTTGGTGTTATCTGAACCTCTGCCCTTCCTTTCTCAAAGTATAAAAACTAATGTTAGTGTAAATAATAGTAATCTTTGTACTTAAAACACTAGAATAATTGTGAATTTCAAAACACAAACTCATATGACTCATATATAAAATAGGATACAGAAAATACATGTATATGGCTGTTAATTTTAAAGTGCTTTAAATATTCCTGACAAAAAGTAAAATAGCACATTTTTATATAATATATCATAATTATAATTATATAATACTATATGTAATTATATATAATATAATCTATTAGAATATTTAGTATAAAGATTATTCACTAGCCTGAACTTTCTCTTCTAAAAGTGCCAACCAGGCATATGTGTTATTACTTTTTAACAAAGTAACTAATGTAATGTGTAGAAAAACTTAATGTCATGTCTTTGAAATCCAAGAGGGGATTCACTGAACACTGTGGAATTTGGGATTCTTCAAAGGAAATTTTCTGGGATCAAAGAAGCTTGGAAAATGCTAGGCTAAATAAAGTTAAATGTATTATATTGTATTGTATGGGTGTACGCTTACTGAGGGGTATTGCAGACTTCCGTATGCTAATGGACACTGAGGGGTGGAAACAGAAGTGAGACAGCAGTTAGCCTTTCCCAAACTTAGTGCACTTTTCAATCCTTTTCTCCTGGAACATCCATTAACATTCCACAAAATCGTGCATTTGGGGAAGTATAGGTATTTTGGAGCTATTTATTACAGAAGACTGTTAGATAATCACAATTTTACATAACCAAAAATAAAATACCTTGAGATTTTTCTGTATTATATTTCATGCATTTAAATCATTCAGTGTTTAGTATTTTATTCTTGTAACCTATTCAAAGGCTTTTATTTCCTGAAATATGTAGAGTCTTGATTTAAAGTCCTGTCAAAATTCTTGAAAATGAAGTTTTAAAACTCAACCAAATCCTAGAAAGGAGCATCTTTAACTAGAAACTAAAAGCTGGAACCATTTTGAGTCGAATGAACACTTTATTTTATACAGGTTTTGTGGTTGCTAGTTTGCTTTGTGCACTGTGCGTAGTGAATTAATTGATTAGAATGCAAAATGATTGAGAAAAGAGTATTTACATACTTTCATAAAATGAAAGTGAAAAGAGAATCCATTTGTTAAGCAGAAATTTGGTGGGTGAGTATTTTCAGAGTTCACTAAGTGTTAAAACTATTTGGAGGGACGTTCACAATTATTTTAGACTACAAGGCACCACATATTAAAGCAGTGCATCAGAGGGTCATGAAATGATAACTCTGGATGATCCCACATTACTTCCAAAAACCAATTACTTCTCAAGCGGTGCTTCGTTGTACATAAATTTTCTTTTCTTTTTTTTTTTAAACATTTTATTTATTCTTGAGAGAAAGATAGAGACAGCATGAGCAGGGGAGGGTCAGAGAGAGGGGGAAACACAGAATGTGAAACAGTCTCCAGGCTCTGAGCTAGCTGTCAGCACAGAGCCTGATGCGGGGCTCGAACCCACAAACCGTGAGATCATGACCTGAGCCGAAGTCGGACGCTTAACCGACTGAGCCACCCAGGTGCCCCTCGTTGTACATAAATTTTCAACGCTACTGAAGTTCTAGGAAGCATAATTGACAAAGAGCCAATTTTATGATTCCTTCCTTTGAAAGTAGCTTTGGGGGCACCTGGGTGGCTCAGTCAGTTAACTGTCCAACTTTGGCTCAGGGCATGATCTCACGGTTCCTGAGTTCAAGCCCTGTGTCGGACTCTGTGCTGACAGCTGCCTCAGAGCCTGGAGGCTGTCTTTAAATTCTGTGTCTCCCTCTCTCTCTGACACTCCCCTGCTCAAACTGTGTCTCTCTCTCAAAAATAAATAAAACATTAAAAATTTTTCAAAAATAGCTTTGGTCCTGGCATCACGTTATATTGGGGAATGTAGTTAAGATGCTGGATTCTGATCTTAAATTCTTAAAAACCTGCCTGCTTGAATTTGGTTGAATTGGATGAGAATGAAAGGTCTAATTTTCTTATTTACTATGGGAAAACAGTTTCTACTGCTAGAAGGGAAATGGAATATCCTACTGTTGTGGGTTGTGCCTCGTTCAACAACATATATATGAAAGCCAATGCATCATACAAAGAACATTTTCAAACAAAACAAAAAATACAATACATAAGCCATAGTTTCCTTCTTTTCTATTTGAAAGTCACTACAATGATGATGAAAAACATCTGTTTGGGGGTCTTTAGAATACCGCATATCTGAAGACCACAGACTGGACCAGTAGACTCTCTCCCTCAGCTCATGGAAGAGAGATTTACCAAAGCAGAATATTACTTGTCTTTAGGTCATGGGAAGATAGCATTTTTCTTAAACCCATAAAAATGGTTCTTTAAATAACTGAAGTTCCCAGAGAAGAGGGCCTGGAAAGTAGAGAAAAAACTCAGTCTCGTATTACAAGCCTGGGATTTTAGGGGAGCACACATGGACTCTGGAATGCAAGGAGAGAACTCCAGAGATTATAGAATATATAGATTCTTATGATTCTACACATTCTCTTTGGCATAAAATAACTTCTAGCTATGGTTGATTTAAATTGTCTTTTTAAATTAATTTTTTAAGTCATACAAACTTGGGACAATTGCTGACATTTTTAAAAAGACCAAAAAGCATGTGAAATTAAAATGTATGTGACTCTCAACAAGCCTCACTTAACTACTGACACAATACCTTGTTTGATTGTGACCAAATTCTGAATTCCGCAAGCATAGTAATGAGTTGTGGAAAACATTGGCTCATGTGACCAAATTAACAGCAGCAGCAACAACCATGTATGGAAGGCAATAAAATCAACAGCTGACATGAATTCATCATGTTTGGTGGCATTTGGTTAATCGATCTTATTTTCTTTAAAAATTTTTTTTAATTTATTTATTTTTGAGAGAGAGAGAGACAGAGCATGAGCGGAGGAGAGGCAGAGAGAGAGGGAAACACAGAATCTGAAGCAGGCTCCAAGCAGGCTCCAAGCAGCCTCCAAGTTCTGTCAGCACAGAGCCTGACTCAGGGCATGAACCCACAAGCCATGAGATCATGACCTGAGCTGAAGTCGGATGCTTCACCGACTGAGCCACCCAGGTGCCCGGGTTCATATTTTCTTAATGAAAGGCACATGCCTTCATACCTTGATATTTCTTGTTTTTTTCAATGTTTATTTATCTATTTTTGAGTGAAAGAGAAAGCAGAGAGAGAGGGACAGAGATAAAATCACAAGCAGGCTCCACACTCAGAGCAGAGCCTGACATGGGGCTCGAGATCAGGATCTGAGCAGAATCAAGAGCTGTACACTAAAACAACTGAGCCACTCAGGTGCCCCTCACACCTTGATACTTCTAAAGTCAGGATTCATCCTACAGTAAGTACATATATTTATTGAATTTTTTCTTCTCTAATCTATTAAATCAATGTTGCATCTTATAATGGCTGTGTCTTAGAATTGAAATGTATGGTGATACTAGTTCTTTTTCTTTTTATTAGTTTAAAAAATTTTTTTAATGTTTTATTTATTTTTTAGAGAGAGAGAGAGAGAGACAGGGTGAGCAGGGGAGGGTCCGAGAGAGAGGGAGACACAGAATCTGAAGACAGGCTCCAGGCTCTGAGCTGGCTGTCAGCACAGTGCGCAAGGTGGGGTTCAAACCCACAAACCTTGAGATCATGACCTGAGCCGAAGCTGGATGCTCAATTGACTGAGCCACCCAGGCGCCCCTTTATTAGTTTTTTAAAGATTATTTATTTATTTTGAGAGAGAGAGAGAGAGAGTTGGGGGGAGGGAAGGGCAGAGAGAGAAAGGGAGAGAGAAAATCCCAAGCAGGTTTCATGTTGTCAGCACAGAGCCCAACCTGGGGCTCAAACTCATGAATCAGGAGATCATGACCTGAGCTGAAATCAAGAGACCAATTAGTGATATTAGTTTTTAACAAAGATTGTTACAAAGAAGTAATATAATTAGAAAGCATAGAGAAAATATATTGGATGGTTGGTTGTCTGATACCTAAAGGTAAAATAGCACACAAAAAATTTCAGCGTGTGAATTAAAAACATCAGAACAATGTTATTGCAGAAAAGGGATCTAAATGAGGACAAAAATTGTAATCATTCTTTGAATTAAAAAAAAATCACATCATTTAGGAGAAAACTTGCTAGAACTTGCACTGATTCATGTCCTCATTTGCCAGCCACACTCATGCCAAGTGAAAGGCTCTTCATCTCAAATTATAGGAGATCTTTAATATGCACAAGGTTCATTCATGATGGTTT